AAGAAGTGTGAATCCATTGTTGTTGTTATCCGGAATTCTGATACATAGCTGATGATTCATTCTTTTTTGTGCTGGCCTGTAAACGAAAAAATTTGATTTCTTCACGTTAATAGTTAGTTTATTAGCATTAAGCCAATCACAGACATTTTTTAGCTCATTATTAACTACGGTTTCCAGGGATTTCAAGTCTTTGTCAGCATATATATATAACAGGTTTGTGTCATCAGCAAACAGATAAATGCCAAGTTTATCGCTACAAAAATGAATGTCATTAAAATAAAATCAAGAAAAGTAAGGGGCCTAACACAGATCCTTGTGGAACTCCAGTAACCGAGTTATTGTATTGTACATGAGAACCACTCATGTACAATACCTCTTATCCCATAATGGTACAATTTATCAACTAGAATAGTGTAATTGACAGTAGCAAACGATTTTTTAAAATCGAGAAAAATACCACATGTGAACATTTTCTTGTCCATATTAGTTTGTACTGTATTCACTATGTCCAAAATTGCATGCTGAGTAGAAAATTTCTCTCTGAAGCCATACTGGGCTTCAAATAATAGTTCATTATATTCGATGTATGATTTCAATCGTTTGTACTTAAATTTTTCAAAGATTTTATTGAAGACGGAGAGTAGTGAAATAGGACTGTAGTTGCTAGGGTCGGTATCATCGTAGCCCTTGTATACCGGGATAACTTTTGCATGTTTTAGCTTGGAAGGATATTTTCCACTTTGGACAGAGAGGTTGATAAGCTCAGCTAGTGGTGAAGCGAGTATGCTCTTTGCACATTTCAAAACACGAATAGGGCATGAATATAGTCCATAAGCCTTGTTTAGTGGTAAAAGCGAGATTTCTAGTTCGATATCTGATGAAATGACTGGTTCAAAGAAAAAGAAAGTGGTGAAAATGATATTTGTTAAGTATTCGTTATAGTGACAATTACTATCTTGTACATTTGCCGCTAACTTTTGGCCAACCGTAGAAAAGAAGTCGTTTAGTACGTTCGGCAATCCCGCTAGGTTACACGTCATACCATTCCCGTTTAGTCGTTTAAGGCCAACAATGGGTTTTGATTTTCTTTTGTTTCGGTTCAGTACGTCGTTGATTCCAGTCCATGTTTTCTTCATATCGTTCAGATGTTGTATGAAATATTTGTGATTATAGAGCTTTCTACTAAGACGAATTAGAGATGTAATTTTGTTTCGATAGAGTTTGTATTTGTCGGTATCCCCTGAGGCGAATAGAGCGTTATTAATTTTTATAGATTTGATTAGCCCTTTGGAAATCCACGGTTTTAAGGATTGCTTGAATTTTCGCTTTGATAGAGGTTTAAGCGGAGCATGTTTATCTGTCAGTTTGTTAAGTTTGTTATAAATTTGTGAAAAAGCGATATCGATATTTCTGATTTGTTCTCGCAAGAATCGATTCTCAGCCGACTTGCGCTAATTCAGAGTTATAATCCTCTTCTGAAAACCTAGAGAAGTCATGCACCATGGTCTTTTTAGGGAATTCAGTCAAGCAGAATTGACAGTAGTGGTCGCTTATGTCTGAAATAATGTTGCCACTATAGGATGGGAGGAATGGGGCTTATTTAAACAAACACTGGGGGACAATGTACCGGTAATTTTTTTTTTAATTCCGACTTCATTTCTTACCGAAGAAAATTTACAGTATTCATTTCTTTGTGTAAAAAACCTATACAAAATTATTTTAAAATGGATTTTGATGGAGGCCTTCAAATACAAGTAGTTTTTGCAATGTAACCCTGTTTCACAAAAATTACTGAGTGAAATTAAATTTTCAAAAGTTTTTGATTTTGGTAGAGGAGGTAGGGGGGTTTGCTAGAGACGACATTTCACATAAAAAAAAAAATTCAGTACAGTTGGTATATTAGAGAAGGAGGGTTAGTTGAGAGGGTGGGCTGATTGGTGTGCTAATACTGGCTTATTTGCTTCTTCGTAGAGTCTGGTTAACTCCTCGTGACATGCTGTGGAGTGCGGTCGACAGTCTGGTCTTCCATCCCAGCAACGCTGCATCAGACCTTGCCATTCATTTGGAGGCTCCGTCCTGTCTTGAACATGCTCCGGTCTTATACCTAGAACCACTCGTTCATGTAGCTCGTCTGCATGAATGCCTTCAAAGGCTCTCTTACCATACCACATCTCCCATAGCATGACACCAAAGCTATATATATCCGCTTTGCGGTCGTAGTGTCTGAAGGAGGCCACCTCTGGAGCCATGTAGTGAGGAGTTCCCATTTGAGTACATGTGATCATGTCTTCCTCTTTCGATAGGCCGACATCGGCTACCTTGACAACGTCATCATGCGACAACTAACAAGTAAAACAAACAATATATACAATATCAGTAACCTACTCTTACTACTCTTTCCTTGCTGTCAAATATTGGTGTTGTATTGTTTGAGCGACATGATGATCATCTTCAGGTTACAAATTACCCAGAGAACTTGATGGATGTCCATACAAAGACCATTTGCCTATCAAACTCATAAAAGAAGTTATTGTGACAGGAGACTAGCCTCTCTTTGATGGTGTAGGACTGTAGGACTCAGATAGAGAGTCCATCGTAATGTGAGTGCATCGATCCATTTAACCATTCACCCACCTACACAACATCAACATGGATAAATATCAAGAATATGGCAGCATTTGTTCGACAGAGGCTATTTCCATTTGTCCCGTTGTACGAGGACGATAGAACCCTTGACCTCTATCACTGTGCACGCATCTGATTAACTCATACTTACCAATGTGTTTTCCAGTTTGAGATCTCTGTGAATAATTCCCTTACTATGCATAAATTCCAGAGCATTAGCGATGTCTTTTGCCCATCCGATCACGTTTTTTGCAGCGGCAGAAGTTGTTGTAGAAAAGCCAGGTACACGGTTCCGACTTCCAAAAATGTGCTTCATCAAGTTCTACTTACAGAGTTCCATGACAAGTATTGGTCTTGATTCACCCTTTTCTTTAAGAAGTGTTGCGCCGTACAACTTCACAATGAAGGGATGATCAAGCTTCCTAAAAAAGATACAGTGAGAAATTGAGCTCTAAACAGTTGTTTTCTGGTCGTCCCAGTGTCGACAGTTCACTACCTCTACAAATGACACGGCTGTTAAAAAAAGTATGTTGCGCAAATTAGATTGAGAAAGCTCTCATGCTATCATTCTGGTTAGCACCAGAAATTGCGGATATTTGCGGAAATTGCACCAGAAATTTCGGATAAGGATAGTTTCTGCGTCGTACAACACTTGACTCCACTTAAGTTTGATATTTCGAGTAAATGTTTTTCAGGGCCTGTCCAACACACAAACCTTGCTTTAATTAATTGTCCAAATTCGAGGCAGGTAGTCTCTTTAGATGGATTAGATAGGTGTTTTGAAAGTGAAGTAGGTTTCTTATGGCCTAAGAATGTATTAAAGTCAGTTTCTAGCTTGCAATGGTTGGGTTTAGCTTGGAATCCAGACGTGAAACTTTCCTTCCCACGAAATCACCATCCTACTTCGAAGTGCGACCATGTCCATCCGTTAGTTCACCTTGGAGGTAGATATTTTATTTCCACACTTCTGGAACTTTGGCTTTGAACAATGGCAAGCTTAACATTTCTCCGTTGGCCATCTATAGCTTCCCTTGCAACAGATGTTTTGTTGGAATGGAGACTAGTTTGGGCACCTGTCCCCAGAGACTAATGGTGTCACTATCACTTTTCTCAACGGACACACTTTCATATGTTCCATGGGATCCAAGCTCAGGTGATTTTCCCACACTAAGGTTACATCACAAGTCATCCTCTATACCACCACCCATCAAGGTTAATCGTGCGGCGATTAACAACTTTGACGAGTTGTTTCAACTTTATGATAGCCAGCTTAGTGGCGCTTTGCAGAAGGCAGACAGTTTGATTGATCAGATAGAGGAGACTACTCAAACCACTTACATCGAGTATATTGTTTTCGTTGCACTTGGTCTATCAGGGGTCAATTTCATTGTCTTCTGTATTCTTTGCCGGTGCATCTCCAGAATATCCGTGCGACATTCCACGCCTGCTAGCCCACCTACCTTGCCAACAGCCGTTGCAAAGAGTCACCAATATAAAACCTGCACTCATCGTTCTGAGCACAAGAGGACAAATCGTCCGAAGAAAGCCTCCAAGGAAGCTCGCACAGCATATGACCCCAAAGTGGACAAGGAATACAAGTTATCCAAGACGAACTATTCAAGGAACTGAACTGAACTTCCGATGATGCATTACGTAATAACACTAACCTTACTTAATTTCTCTACAATTCTGAACGACGCCTCAGCTACGTATTTAGCGTCAGTTAGTGGTCTGTTTGCCTCATTTAAATGTGAATATGACGCCTATTGTTCAGGGCGAGCAACACCAGTTTTTCGAATTAACCTCCTTTTCTCATAGCAATCCACTAATTTCTTTTTTGGGTTATTTTTGGGTTTCAGTCGATCGTTAGACTGGGAGTTAGATAACGTCCCCGAGTTTATCCAAATTTGTCATTATTTCATGGTCCATGAACGGTTCTTGAGTGACGTCTTTCGCGTCGCTTTTCCGCGTGACTACTGCAATTTTTTCGCAGAAAACCAATTCTGCGAAGGGTTGTTCGCTCTGAAAACTTCTCGTTACCTTTTCTTCGCTCGTAGCCTTACTATTCGCGCGTCACAAGAGTTTGAAAACATTTTCATTTAACCAATATCTGATGTCAGCCTCTAGTGTGGATGATTTTTTAAAACAGTCAATTAATGGTCGATTGAACGACTTAGGCATCAATTGAAAGATATTATTGAGGATTCTTGAAGTCATTTCGTGTGCACACTACTCGACCGAAGAATACTTAATTATCGACTTTGTATCCGTTCCAAACACAGCTTTTCCTACCGTCTGCATTGAGGACGATGCCTAATTTAGGCGGGGAGGAATGTTGTGAGGTAAAATTAGAAGTTGTTATTTTGAGACTTTTTCAGTTAAGCTTTTTGTTTTGTTGAGCCTTGCCTTTTGCGCGTACGTGTTATTTTGGTAGATTTATAGTTTTGATCTTTAATTTTTAGTGTGTGCTTGAACTTGGCTCAGTTCGCGGATTTCCTTTTTACCGTGCTAGACATTTTAATCGCTTGTTATGGTTGAGAATAATTAGTTTCATAGGTGGTCATGTTTGGGTTGATAAAACTGACTTTGACTTTTACCCACACTGAAGATCCTGTTTGTGTGCGTGATTCTCGCGCGCAGCTAAATCATTGGCGCTTAATCGGTTCCTGGTGCTCGCCAAGTACTTCGGAGCGAGCTACCCAATTTCCCCCTTTGCAAAATAACAAGTCAACTGTGGAAACTCCCACGGTCAGCTAACCCAAACATGTCTGTGATTTTTGTATTTAATACGTGGGCACTCCTTGCTAAAAGTAGAAGAAAAATGGCAGTAGCAGCAGCAGTAGAAGAAGAAAAGATCTGAAACGTTGTAGTAGGAAAGGAGAATAAAAAGAGAAGATTCTTGGTACTTCTTGTTAAAAGTCAAGCGAGTAGTAAAACCCCCAACATTATAACCAACTGAAACTGAAGATAACTCTTCGTGCTCTGGTATAAAATATAGCTGCATAGAAATTCTTATTACTTGCTTTCTATTCGCGCCTGCCACTGTCCCATGTTCACGCCGAGAGGAACGCAGAACCTTTTCAATCTGGTATTTATTAGATGACAAAAACATTTTGTAGATACGGACATGGGTTGCGGTCGGCATCACTACTCTTAAGACATTCAGTTTGTCTAGCTCCTTTTGAACGAAAGTAAATGTAAATAAACCGAGTCATTTTAAATGACACCCACAACCCCGACACAGAGATCAGCGAACCAATCTGAGCCATTAAAGTGTCAATCTAAGACGTAGGCGATCAAACATAGAACGTTACGGAACCAACCAAAGCTAGACTGACAGAGTTGAATAACGTATACGCATGCGCTAGATTTTGCTGCGGAAACACGGATTTGAGTCGTTCGCATGGTTGATTTCCTATTCTGTTGCTTTGAGGTGTCGTTTTCCTTGCCGCTTTTCATTTACAGAACAACCTCCAAAAATTTGGTACACCCCCTAAAAATTTTCAAAAATCAATTCTCTCCTTTAAATCTTTGGAAATAGGAAAGTGCCTTCGACGAAAATAGAGTTCCACGGTTTTAAAGGTCAGCCCTCATCATTTTCCGCTAATTTCGCTAAATTTTAGACCTAGGTCACTTGAGCCCGCGTTGTTGACCGCATACCCGCTGAAGTAGCATTTCATTATTCAGCTCTGTCAGCTAGACTTTAAGAAACCAACCGACAATAGACGATACAGATTAAGGGTCTGGCGTTGAGGAGCAAATCCACCTACCAGGCCCCAGGGAATTAATCAGCCAAAAGATAGGGAACAGACCTACAGTAGCTTAGTTCGCTGAAGTCCTATAGTAGTTTAATAACGTCTCAAGCTGTTTTGCTGAAGTCCTGAGTTAATTCGCGAACAACTTATTTTAGTACGCTAACAATTCATGTAAGCTTTAATCGCTTCCAGATTAGGTTCGCAGGCTAACAACTCAAGTTTGGTGAGTTCACCCATAACTCAGGTTGGTACAATAACATGTTAGGTTGCTCACAGGTTGCTTATAGAATAAGTGAATTCGTTGACAACCTAGCACGGTTAGTTGGTTAGCAACTTAATTTGGTTTTCAGGCGAGTTCGGTTGGTTCGTTATCATCCAAGGTTTGTTTGTTTACCTGGATGAGTTCCTTGCAACTCAGGTATGTTCGCTAACAATTTGGGTGAGCAGAGTTCGTCAACAACTTGAGTGAGTTCGCTACCGGGAACTTAAGGAGGAAGAGATTTCAAAATTATGGGGGGAGGATAGCCCAGATTCTCAACAAACTCGCGCCCCTAGCCCTCGTTTTCAAGCCTTCCCAGTTGAAAAGAAACTTTGCCGTCCCTGTCGCTAACATTTCGGGTGAGGTTTCAGCGACCTGGGTTAGTAACAAGTGCGTGTTTAGTAGAGACTATTAGATTTTAAAATTGAACCAAAGATAACAGTGAACAAAACAGCAATTGCAAAACTGCATGAACTGGAACAAAATAACAAGAATTTCATTACACAACATACCAATTGAAACTAACCTTAGGGTATCTGTTTCAGAAAGGAAGGTTACTGCAGTGCCACTACTCAGTGCCTTTTTCCATACTTTCAGTGCCACGTCCACGGACTTCCCTTCCTCTTGCAGCTTTAAGGTTCCTCGATAAACGGTAGCAAAAGCACCATTTCCAAGAGACGATTCTCGGTCGTCTTTCCATTCCAAATCCTCACAACTGATGTCCATGGTACTTACTTCTTTGATGCCAAAGTCAGCCATCCCCCTTCTTAAATCTGAAGTTTTCAAGTATGAATCTTTAGCATCTTGCAGTAATCGTTTTTGCTGAAGCAAGAGTTTATCACTTTTTAACTGTTCTTCAACGAGGGAAATGACTTGTTGTCTGTCAGCCATCTTTGTGAGATATTCTTGAGAGACTTTTGCCATGAATTTACATTTGTCTTTCTTGTACTCTTTTGTTTTACTCCGATTATCTAGCTTTTCTTTGGCGGCCATTGTTCCAATTACCGGAGCACTGACTAGAAGAGCAACGATGGCGACGGGAGCCCAAATGGGACTTGTGACTCCCATAACCGCTGTTTCTGTCACGCTTAAACTGAAACTTCTTGAAGTCTGTGGACCACTTGATGATGAGTTGGCTCCACTATCTGCTTTAGGGGAGCTCTGCACAACTTTACTCTTTTTCTCGACGCAGCTGAAATACTGGAGCAAGTTCTGTGTCAGTAAAGTGCGAGATTCTGAGAAAACATGGGTTTGTTTCTCCCATTCCTCGATCTTCTCCTGAAGTCGTTTCGCTAATGCAGTTTGAATGTTTACCTCTGTCACCGCCCAATCACCCCCGACGTCTGGAACATTGTCTAATGACCACGAAGTAAAGTATTGTAGAAGTTCTGGTGAGTTAAGAAGTTTGGACAATTCCCGGGCAGCCACATCTTTGACTGTCGTGTTATTTAGACACTCCTGCAGCTCTTTGTCTACTGCACACTGCTGACTTTCGTTAAGACGATCCATTTCAGTCACAGCCTTCTTCACCTTTAATAATTCTGCTTTAGTGCGATAGACCAGACGTGAAAGAAGGTGGTAAAGCCATCTGAAAAAGAGTACATTGCATGTTAGCAAGAACAGCAGAAATTCAACAGAGCCTGCAACTACAAATTAATTGCGTGAATCATCTTTTGACCCGTGGATCAATTAACAAATAACCAACTCGAAATGATTCTCCCAGATGTACAGCAATTTGTTGAACTGCAGTCCAACTGACAGGATCATTTCGTCCGAGATATTATTTGCTTTACTATTTACATCAACAGGGGACGGGAAATCCATTAAAATTTACCTCGCCTTAACAGGTGGCTTCGTTACTCAGTTTGTAGCGACCGAAATACAGGTTCGAACCTCATGGAAGGATAAATTTTACTAAAGCCTTTTTTCCTGCAATTTCTTCAACAGCAAATTCTACAATCGGATTAGTATTTGGAGTGGGCGGAAATTTCGAAAGGCTTGTTGGGTTTGGACCCCAAATGAACATTCGGAAAAGCCTTAAGTCAATCTTGTTGTTCAGATTTTAACAGTCTAATACAACTTACCTCCATTGCTTCTCTAAGTTTATTTCAATGCTTTTCAAAACCATGGAAGAAATATCATTCATCAGTGAAGCGGACGTAACATCATCAGAAGCTTCTCTAGGGATCTGGGCGTTGCTGTTACTACTTGATGAAATGCAAACGATTTGTGACTTTGGGTCCTCACTGGGCCAGCGCTCTGTGAGATGCTTGACGATGCAACTCTTAATCTTATCAGCCTCGTGTGGCAGTACTTGATCCCATTTACTTAAAACCAGAAGAGGACAAGTTGGCAACGATTTCATTTGTTGGTCCAGAAATACAATGACCTGTTCGGTGTGCTCCACGTATTTTTCTACCTAATTACAGACAGTAAAAAGAAACATGAGTTGTTACTTCAGATGAACCTTAAGCAATGGACACCTTCATATGATGGACACCCTTTTGTCCTGGAGGACGGTCCACTCAGTCACTCTTATTTTGAACTCTTTACAATGACCGTGACCACCTCTCCTAATTGTCAACAGCCATTGAGGTGCGACCAAGCGGTCGAAAGTATCTTCTCGACAACAACCATTAAATCACCAACTGAGAATCAGTGTATTGCACTATAATATTTCTAAACGTCCACTGAGGCCCAAAGTCGCCTTGCAGATTTGATCACACAACCGCACACATGCCTCCTGGGTCACATGACCCAAGTTACCGCGTTGCACAACTCCAGGATATCGCGCAAAAACTACATGCACGGTGCAGAAAATAATTTTATAAGCTTTTCACCATCCTCACTTCCTTAAAACAGCTAAACCTTTTAACAAAAAATAATCATACTTTCCGCTTCCCTCAAGGTGGACACTACGGGGAAGTTCGACTACATGTGAGATTTCACCTGGTTTTTTTGTTTTGTTTGTTTTTTACTTTTTTAATATTATAGGCTTTTATTTCTGCTAATAGACCGTACAAATTACCTTGTCTCGATGTATTCCCTCGCCATTTATACCATTGATGATGCAGATGAATGCGGAGGCCTCCAAAAGGTATGCCTTTGCCTTGTCATTTATGGAGGGGGATTCATAAGTGCCCACGATGTCAACTATAACAACCCCTTCCTGAAAAAGATAATATCAGAATAAACACATAAACGATATCTAGTCAATCGATGTCAATCCCAAATATTTTTTCATTTAAAGGCTCGACACAAAGGGAATTAAAGAAACAACGTCGACGACGTGTCTGTATGCATTTGAAGCTTCCTCGTCAACTTTTGGGGATTACATAGATAGAAAAAAAATGGCTGGATGGATGGAGGAATCGAAGAAGGGAGTGATGAATAAATGCAGCAATGATCCGGTTTCGCAGTTCTTCCCCTCTTCAAGGCAAGACCGATCGCAGAGAGGTGCAGAGAAGTACCACTCTTGTAATTATTCGAGCTCCAAAACCACCATCGAACGTCTACTACCTAGTCTACCCGTATTTCCTCGAATAAGCAACCCAGCTCCGATAAACCTCTCCCCCCGAACGGTTATTTTCACAGGCATGCTATGGCTTAGACTGGGCACTACATAATTATGTGACTTGGAAAAACTTTAGGGTCGGAACACAATAGTCCCTTTTACAGTTGTGGGTTTGGTGGCCAAGCCTTTGAACAGGAGTGAGGCTAAGGGTGACCCTGTTGTGATAGAGACCTGTATCTAGTTAGCATGATAACAAAGTAATTTGCATTTGAAAAGCAGCAACATCTCTATCATAACAAGGTCACCCTAAGCCTCACTCCTGTTCAAAGGCTTGGACATCAAGCCCACAATTGTAAAAAGGACTATTAAAGTTCCTTCATATCACCAACCTTCAGTTGGGGCAAAATTAGTTCGATCTTGTCGTAAAGTAGATCCTTCGAACTCTCTTCACCGACATCTCCGAAAATAGTGGAGAGGAGCTGTTGCAAACAGCTTCGTTGCAGAGTCTCAAGTGACTCACTCTCTAAGAGAGTTACCGAGACAACTTCTGCTCCAGAATGTTTGTGCGCTACAAGCCTGGGTGCAGTTCCATATTTTAGTTCGAGGATAGTGGACGAGGTGCTGACTACGAAAGGAGGAAAAAGTTCTTCTTCGATGATCAGATTTAGTAAGTTTCTCTTTTCCAAACATCTCTCACCTACAAACAGACACAAAATACTAAGTCCCGTAACCATTCGAGTCTAAGACATTTCCTACCTCACACTTAGGCTATTAATGGAAGAATGGCATAACTTTAGTCAAGCTGATTCGTATTACGAACCGGTTCGATTCGGTCTGATTACTCTGCTGGAGAGTTTTTAGTTTTTATGATGAGTCGAAGCAAAATAATGTTCTAAGTTGAAGTCTAAACCTCGTAGATTCTTCCCCGGATCCTTCCTTATGCATTTCAGTAGCTAAGCAACTGCTCACCCACCTTTCCCTAACCCAACAACAGTCCACTAATAGCAAGTTAAGGTTCAGTAATGTTGGTTAGGGGTGGGGTAAGGTGCGCAGTTGCTCATTTTATGAACTGGCATTAATCTCTCTTCGTTCCTTAATTTGAATGTCTTTTGATTTCTGATTGCTTGCTTGCTGATTCAAATTGAATTTGTCGCAAACATGTGTCAGTAGATATTTACAGGTGGACTTGTGGGAGGGTCTCAATGGGGGGCGATGACTTTCAAGGCTGACGGTTAAATATTTTGGCCATTTTACGGCTAACGAATTACTTCCTTCTTTTGTGATTGAAAGAAAAATAGTTTACGCTTAATTTTTTTACGACTGACGATTAAAATTGGTAAATTTTTACGCCTAACGGCTATTTTTGTGGCCGTTTTAGGGATGACGGTTGTGACGATATTGCATTGTCTTAGCGTCCAATCAGATTTCAGTATTTACACGTGCGCGCCAACTTGTTTTCGTCTCTCTCTGGTTTTCCTCCCCATGGCCGCTTGTAAGTCGTTTGTGAGTTCACAATGTTCTAATTAAACGAGTTGAAGTGGTGAGAACGTGAGCCAATTCTTTATAACGGTAAACCCTGTTGAGCCCTCTTGTAGCGAATTTTAGCGATGAGTTCAGTTTCCAATCCAGTCGTAAAGTGAAAATTGAAAATTACAACAAATTACTAATAACCTAGGTTAGGTATAATCTTCCGGTCAATAAACTTCCGGTAAATGACTGGAGCAAGTAATATTGTACGGTAAAATTAACAACAGAGGAAGTATAAACAGGAAACCATTGACAATTTGGTATTTTGTCTATCGATCACAAACCTGCCACGAGCACAGTGTATTCTTCCTTCTTTAGATTCCGTTTGTGGAAAGCGATTTTGGTTTTGAGATCTCCGATGTCCTGTTCCAAAAGGGCACGAACCTTGTCATCCATAAAGTTTAAACAATCCTCCGTACTCTCGTAATATTTGTACAGCTCCGCTTGTTTTCTTTTGATTTCCTTCTTGGCCTCGGATAACATAGAACACGCCTGGAAAACGCAAGAGAATAAGATTTACGCGTTCTTACACTGATTGGTATGATCATCTGCAGTGAAAGATAAACCTTCGTCAGAGAGAATCATTGGCTGACATTCGAAACTTCACCTTTGGAATCTTTCTACGGTGTTGTTTACGTCTACTCAAAATGCCAGAGTCTACCGCTCTCGATTAGGCTTGATCATGCAGCTACCGTGGAAGGCACTCCAGCGATTATCATTGAGTGCCAGAGAGAACGGAGATCTGTCGAAATCGACAGCTGAATTTAATATTATGGTGGCAGTTGATAAAACCAAATTATCATACATGGATTTATACAGTTACTAAGTCACGAAATAATCAGTTATCTAAAAGGAAAACCACCGCTCTAGTGCTAACGCGCACTGTCATAACACATTGTAATGATTTTGTCTAATAATTTATTTTAGAAAAGCTCCCGTCTCAACAAGCACAATTTAATGCTTTTCCTGGGTCTGGGTCATCGGGTGACGTTCGCCCTGCATTCACGGAAATTAGCCGAATGAGCTTTTCCGAGAACTATCCGATCACTGTCTCTTAGTATATTTTTCCAACTTTGACGTAGTGTTCATATTTCTTATGGAGTTTTCAAAGAAACTAAGGAATTGGAAACAAACGATCAACTTCCCTACTGCATTTGCGAATAATTTTTGAATGAAGGCGATTAAAGTTCTACTTGGTGTTCATTTATAACTTGCACATTAGACTGTCTTGGGATGTGATTTATCAAAATTCACGATACATTTAAGAATTTAAGTCAGCAGAACTATATAAAGCTCTTTTTTTCAACGATTACCTCGAGATTTTACTGTATTTACGTGAAATTTTAAGTTAATCGTAAAATAGCCAAATTAAAGGTAAAGATATGCTAGCTGCACCCACGGTTACCCAGCTACAATGACAGTGTCCCAGTGTCGGTTTAAAGTTCGAACTATGTTTGGACTGGTCGCCCATCCAATTAATCAAATTATTACTTAAAGAAAAACCTATCTCGTAATACACTTCCATTGATCCATAAACATTTACTGTAATTATGCTTACACAATGAAGGAAAACGTTCTGTAAAACATACGAGATGATCGAAATCAATCAGCTCCCGCTAAATTTGATACTTCCGCCACAAAATTGATAATCTCGTCTCCAAAATTGCTGCACGAGGAATATTTGTCATGTTTACTTCTTATGTCACGCAGCTGGAAGATTTCATAGGAACATCTAACTGCCATTTGTTTCCTCTTCGACTTACCATTTTGTTCCGTACTCGTACTTCCTATGGTCAAACCATACACCACCCGGCGTTGCCTAGATTCGTCGGATAATGTTCGCTGCTGCTGTCTCTTCAATGTTTCTCGACGTGCTTATGTGGAAACGGGAATTATGTAAACTACATTTAAAAGAGAATTAAAACGAGCCCGAGGACCGGGATAGTCTGGAGTAGCTTGCACTATTCACTATGCTCCATTTGCAGATGACCGGCGCTGGGCTGTCACCACAGTCACGTTGTTGGAGTCCTTAATCTTCTTCTTCTTTGACCTTTAAGACATCCGCTGAACGCAATGAATGCAGGTACAAACCATCCTTACTCGCTCAGGGCCGAGCTTTTCAAAGGTGGGTCAAGATAACCCAGGGTTAGCGTGTAATTTGACTTCAGAGCTGAAAGCTTTACAAGAAAATTCAGTTTAATTCCATTTGTCTACAATTTGATGATTGAACGCTCTCAAAAGAATTGGGAAAATTATCCCAAAACGGCTTTTGAACAGAGAAATATAGAAACCTGGATTAAAATTTAACCCTGGGTTAGCGCCAATCGGCCTTCGAGCAACTGGACCCTGCAGTTCTTTAGGCACCAGAAGAGAAAACAAGCGAATAAAATATATTTGCTCGGACGGACATCTCTTCGCAACGAGAAGCCTTTTCGGAGAAAAATGCATACTTCGGGGAACAGCGAATGTCCATGGACAAATTTTCAAGCTCAAAGAAAGGTTATCGTGTTTATCAATCTTCAGATACATGTATAATTTTTTTTTTCAGCGTGTTGAACAAAGCTTTTATAAACAGCATACCGTCGAAAACGGTGTTGACTTTTCAGCGAGATTTTATGAACAAACCAAACTGCCTCCTCTTCCCCTTTATCTTTGATTTGTCTGATGGTAGCGAACACTCTTCCTGCTTGAACAAAATTTAACAGGAAGACCCTTGTCACATTGAAAATTGGGACTGGAAAATTGTGGAATATCATTTAGGGAATATCAGCGGATGTCACGAACTTTTAACCAAGGCATATTTAGTTATGTGACTCGTTTAAACCCATCGCAAGCGGGCGAGCTAAAATATTTGATGGACTCAGAATACAAAATATACGACAAATTCAAACAGAAACTTAGTTCATCACAACCTCATTTCAAGCTAATTTTTCTCCGTTTTCTGGTTTAATTTGGGTTTCGCCGTTTCACTTCCAGTGGCAAGGATCTGTTGTTGCAACCTTTTGCCGTTGTTATAATTACGACACTTTCACAAGAAATTCTTAAAGACCAACAGGATTAAACAGTCACATGGAAACGGCACAATACAGCACACAAACAAATTCAGTTGCTTTAGTTCCTTCAGTTCTTTTCCTATTACATTAAAAAATGTAAAATTATATATGCCACAAAAAGTCAGTTCCGAAAGATGTGAGCGAATAGAGGGTCGATTTCAACGCGTTTCTTCGAAGGGACCTGAAATCGAGGTACTGTGGGCGTTATGTTGGGAAGACGACGTGTGAGCGCATCGATGACCCTTACGAACGCTTTTTACCAAAGAAAAAGGGTTGGAACATTCCCTAGATCCTCCTCGTACACTGTCAGTGGAACGTGCAGTGGTAAGTTTGACGTATTCTCGGAACAATTAACTGCGACAATAGTCACTCATCGAATGAGACGTCTTCTATAGCTCTTAAAGGTTCTGTTCTTGACCAAGAGTTGTAAGGAAAATGTCATAGAGGCCAATATTAATAAGAGCAGCCGTCACACTGTCCACTTTAGGCATCTTGTGTCCTGGTGTGTTCCCAGACACTTGACACAACAGTATCTCGATCCGCAAGACACACAGGTGTAGTTTGAGGGAAATGTGAAGAATAGTCAAGGATCCATATATCTTTTACTGAAAAGTTTTATTTGCCTCAGCACCCCCCCCCCTAATGATGGCAAGAACCCGAACGGCTGATCTTGTTGTCAGAACAACGAAAAAAAAGTTATAAAGGTGCAAATTTTGTGAGCTACTTTGAAGAAAAAAAACGAGTCTAATTAAATAACATCTCACCATCTTTTATTGTTTGTAACTTAAAAGTCCAGGGTATTAACCAATCCACATTTTTTCATCCCTTTCCAAAGTGCTTGAAGTAACTAACTGTCTAAGTCTCCATTGTAGTCATAAGTTGGGCTTGTTGCAAAACATGATGATAATGGGGGGATCATGTAGTTTGATGAGCCCATATCGTGGATACAAAAGAATTAAAGGTATGAGAAAGTTTGGACAAGTGGCCTTCAAGGTGCTCGAGCTCATCCTTGTTTCCAAAGGATGAAGCCACTTGGAGTATTGCTACCCCCAGTGGATGGGATGCCACTTTATCACAGGTTATCCCCCTGCATTTTTTCAGGCTCCCTGGAGAGAGGCACTGTGAGAGAAAAGTGCTTGCCGAAGAATACAACAAAGTCACCTAACCAGGTCTTAAACCCAGACCTCAGTCAGCTCGATAGCCATTGGGCCACAGAATCCTCCACTGTTTCTGAATTACTGACAGGAAGTTATAGTTTCAATGGGGCTTTCATTCAAGAAGGATATGATAAATTTCAATTGGATCGTTTCTGTCTGGTTGCACACAACGATAAAGGTCCAGTAATACAGGCAACATTTTTCTTCAACTTGTCTTGCAACATTGTTGCATTGCAAGTTGAAACCCTTTGTTGAAAATTTGTTGCAGAAAGTAGAACTCGAGTCTACTTTGAGCAAGACGTTGCCTCAACTTGCAACACTATATTTTGTTGTGAGACAAGTTGGTCATGAACGTGGTAATACGACCAACAAAGGGCTTCAACTTGCAATGCAACAATGTTGCAAGACAAGTTGAAGAAAAATGTTGCCCGTATTACCGGACCTTAATGCTGAAGATAAGAATACCGTATTTCCCTGAATAACCACCCGAGCTCTAATAAATGCCTTCCCCCAAATAAGTGCCCATCCCCCTAAGCCATAATGTGAAACAACTGAGTGTGCACAACTTCTCCTTCACTTTTTCAAATGGTGGGGATACAAGGAAAACCTGTTCCTACCGCCATCTTATTCATAACTTTTTAAGCTTCATCTACAGCAGAATCGCCACAGGAGAAAAATTAGCATCTTGTGTGATTAAACACTCTCCTTCCAAGAAGTGCCCCCCTTTTATCCAAAATTTTTATTCAGTGCTCAGGCTTTTATTTGAGGAAATATAGTATATCAAAAAAGGTACAAAACGACATGTGACAATTTTAAAAAAGGATATCCACACACAGCACAGAAGTGTCTCTCTGGGAATTTTGAGGGAGGTACCTTGGCTGAGGTATAGGATGGTTCACCAGCTTCTGCTTCTTGTTGCTGCCAAAAAAATACAAACAAACAAGCTAGCAAGTGACAAAAGTAAACAATACTGACATAACAGCAAATAACTTAAGAACCCTTTGACCCTAGAGAGTGACTAGAATTTCATTTCTCTTTACAATATCACCCCTGACTCACACATTAAGGTCACACAGAATATATCTTATTAGATGTTTTGCTGTGTAGTATTGCTAAGTATGTTTATGAGTTGTGCTGTATTTTGATGAGCTCAAAGGGTGAGTCAAGATACAAATAACAAGTAAAAATAATCAGCGACATGAAACACCAAAATGTGTAATAAATTAGTTATCATCCACCATACCAAGTTGTTATTTCAGTGCAAGTGAATTTCGCAGATAGTTATTTACAAAGAGTGTGTCACAGAAGTACGTGAAATGGAACAGGGTTTGCGTTTTGTCATGTTGCTGTTTCTATATTTATTTTCTTCACTAAGTGATGAAATTTCATTTTCCCTCCTTTTCTCGTTTGATTTATTCTCCAGCCATTCCAACTCAAAAAATTTAAATTGCCCCCCATTTTATTTTGTAACTTTAATCCTAATCGTCACTTGTGCAATATAAGAAAAGCTGTCTAACTGGTTCTCTGAAGTACAAATACCGTGTGATATTTGTACTAAATAAGCTCTTGGTTGTTGAAAAAATTTTCCTTGTCAGCAGCTAAGAAAGCATAAATAGAGAAAAGTATGGAGAATATGCATACTGATGTTCAGGTGTTGAGGGTTACCAAAACATTTACAAACTAGAGACAAGAAAGACATGGACATGACATTTACATGCTGTCTGAGTAGAATAAGATAATAATTACAGTTATGGTGCTTAATCCCTTTCGTTAACCTTATTCTAACTACTGACATCAAAATTGTTACAAAAAAACTCACTGCCTCCTCCAAAAGCATGACAAATGTTCTCCGAAATCTCTGAGGGAGTAAAAAAAATATAAATAAAAAAAAAACACAAACTATCATAAACCAGGACTTAACATTTTGAACACACTCAATTATTGTACATCATCAACTCAACTTTAATTTTTTTACTTCAAAAGTTCACTTTTTTCCAGGAAGCATGCCCACATACCCCCCTTCCACCACCCAGGAAGGTGATGCCCGGGGTGTCACAATTGAAGGCTGTGTAGTCCAAAATCTCACTATTTGTCACCAAATCAACTTGGGAGCACTGCTCATGTACATACATGCACTGCTGTTCCAGCAGAAAAGGAAATCATTTGAGGCTTTGCCTCCCCTCTCAATACCAAGCATTTCATTGAATTTCTTAAGAGCTTGATGAGTGAGAAAGTTAACTCCATTACCCACACAAAACAGTACCATAGTCTTAAATGCATACAGACCTGTTTAAACAACTCTCCTGTTTTGGATTTCCTCTTCTTCCTTTTATCTATAAAAAAAGAAAAAAGACATGCAGGCTTCGTGTCAAAAACTATATTTTCCAAGAACGTGAAGATCTTGCACGTGATAATTACCTTCCATAGTGTCGTTAAAAGCAGGAACCTTCATTTTAGCAGGGACTATCGTAAGGTGAGCATGAGGATCATCTTGAAAGTTGTCTTTCTCTAAGGCCTCCAGCTGCCTTTTCTGACGTCTTTTTCGAGTTTCATTATCAAGAATTTTTCTGCTAGATATATCTTTGATTCTCCCTGTTTGATAATTAACAAACTACATTAGAGAAAAGTTCTACTGTCACAAAAAGTACTTAACGAGATCACACCTGACTCTCGACGGTCCGCCATCTTGGAACATGCGATCGCTTGTACCTAGTTTTAGTCGGTTAGACTTGAATGCCTGGCAGAAATTGTCATAATGGCGTCCATAAGCGCCGTTCAGAACAAAGTTACGAGAGAAAATTGGTTGGAAAAGCATCCGAAATTCAACGAAATACAATCATATGGATATTATAATGAAAAAATGTCGTTAGCAAGAGCAGCTATCGCTGTGTACATGGACTTATGTGAAAGTAAGCACTGGTTCAAGGTTTGCATTCACCCTTGCGAGTCTTTGAAGTTGGTGTACATAACCGGAAAGCGGACCAAGAAATCCCAGTTCGATGTGGTTGTTCCACTTACGATAGATACAAATTTAACAACAGAGGAAATTACAAGTATTATTCAGGAAGTTAATCTGTGCGAAGAAGAAACTGAGGAAGGGACAGATACATGTCGTAATCGCGCTAGCTCCAAAGTGACAATGGCTTTCTATGAGGCTGATTCCACCATAGTCTATTACGACTTTTCTCAAGGTCTTGTTCCACCGGATCCACCAACGGAGGAAGAGGAAGTGAAACCTAAACGTAAAAGAACAAGAACGAAGAGAGGAAAGCATACGTCTTCGTGAAATCGTAATGAGACAAGTCTCAGTTTATTGGACAGCGACGATCGGAATATGTCCTCCATAACGCCTCGGTACTGGCGCACTTGGAAACTATTAATTCGCTATTAAGCCGTCTAAGGGCTTATTGACCCTTTCACTTCTGGAATTGACCTATGAGTAATTTCTCCTCACAATATCAAGACAATATCAAGAGACAGGCAGGGCTTGACACTAACGGTGGCCCACTAATCACAGACTACAAGTAAGGAGAAATTCAGTTTTGGCTAGTGGTTTTCCACAAGCCAGTTTGGCTAGTAAACAGACTGAAATTGTCGTAACACCTAAAAACATCTAAGATGTCACTAGCCACTTTGCTAGTAAGTTGAAAAGTTAGTGTCGAGCCATGGACAGGTGATGAGAATAAAGGAAAATGTGAACAAGGGTTTATTAACATTTTGATTCTCAATTGTTAGAATTAATTGCATGAAAAATTTACAGCAGGCAGTGAGGAGAATTCCTATTGAGACTGTAGGTGTGACAGGGTGATTTCTCCAGACTTTCAGTTGGAAGGGGGTTGGGAGGAAAGGGTTCACTGAAGACTCATTAACAGCTTCAGTGAGAATCATTATTCTTCCTAAGAAGGAAACTCAAAACAGGTCTTCAACTGCAACTCTATTTCATGATGAAAATTCTACCTAACCTGAATAAATAACTTTATTGCTTTACAACCTTGTGCATAGCAGTGATACTAACAACATTTTGCCATGTGTTTGTAAGAGCTTTTGGGTGGGAGTAAAAAGGGTTTGTCAGAGCCAAGAAGAGAGTGTTTTATAGGTTTGTGATTGTTGTTCAAAGGCCATGAATCGCTTAATTTCCTATTGACCAAATGACTTAAAACTGAAATAACTTAAAAGCATTCCTTACTAATGCATTTGATTTTTTCACCTTTTTAATGATAGTTGCCTTATTAATTTTGGTCAATTTAACTTCATAAGTCAAACTTTTGGTGAAATTTACCAACAATTTATACTCCTGAAAGACAAGTTTTGTTTATAGTTATTACATAAACCATTTAAATCAACTTTAAATGGTCCTACCATCTGGCATTATGAATAGTTACTGACAGAGTTCACAAAAAACCATTGCACAATGTACAAAGCATAATCAAGTTAAAGTAGAGTTAGGTACACCTCTCTTGCACGCATGTAGATAAGCCACCCCTGGCCTGGTCAGCATGTGTAAAGAAAATACATTTCACAATTTTCATTTGAAAAAATGCTGTGAAGGCTTATTTGCATTAATGTTAACAAAACAATTCTTACCACCCCTTATGAAAGAGTTGTATACAACACTTTTCCTTCTAACTGACTCTCTTTATTATTCTGACTCTTCAAGTCAGGTTATGTGGATTATTTATTAAATAGCTGCATTTTTACATATAATTTGCTGCCCCAGTTTCTATTAGCCATGGAACAAAATGTATGAATTACAAGTATTTTAATCACACCCAGGGCTCAACACTAACTTTTCAACTTACTAGACTAAGTCAAGTGGCTAGTGACATCTTAGATGTTATGACATTTTCAGTTTGTTTACTAACCAAACTGGCTAATGGAAATTGAAAACGCTACTCAAAACTGAATTTCTACTAGTCTGTGGCTAGTTGACTATCATTAGTGTCAAGCCCTGAAACCACTGCTCACTAAATTGAAATACACTTGAACCTTGATTAAACAGACCTCAATTATCTGTTTTCTTGTATTATCTACTTCTCTGGTCCCTTTTTTTCACAAATATGAATTAGTCATATTCAAGATCCATAACAACAAGTGCTTTATGCAGAAATTCTTTTCACAACAGGAAAAAACACAGATAGTGTGTTAAATACCTGTTGAGCTTACAAGTGTATAATGCTTCAAAATGTGATCAATTATTACAATAACATAAATAAGAGCTATTGACAAGGTGTATTCTTTTCCTTATGAAAATCAGTTCAAAAAGGAGACCAGATTGCTAACTTTTATGTCTATGTCAGAAGTCTTTGATGAAATTTAAACATGCTAATACATTCTCCCAGATTGATACTGGCCAGAGTAGCCTGAGGTTGGTAGCGGCTGCTGTACTGGTCCTGTTTGATAATAGTTTGTCTGCTGTTTTTGCTGCTGAGTGTTGTAAAATTGAGTATCCTGAGGCTGCATGTTATATACTGGATACTGTGGTGAAGCTTGTTCAATTTCTTGTAGTCTTCTCTGCCGCACAAGGGTCTGCAAGTCCTTAAAATGGCTTCTTGTGATTTCTCCCAAGTCATCAAAGACTGTATAGGAAAGAAAAAGTTAAGGGGTCAGAAATTAGAAATTTTATTCTCTAATTTAAACAGCTGTGAACAACACCACTGACAATAATTATTGTAAGGTACTTGGATAAGCACAAACAGTGCATTTCTAATGTCACAGCCAGTTTTACACCACAAATTAAATCTAAAAGAACACCACAAAACAAATTTAAAAGAATAAAATAATACCAAGAAACACATGAAGCAGATACTTTATTCTAACACTATGTGTAAATAAGCACACATTTGAACAAGGAAGATGCCTGATGACATGGGAAGGACTTCACTGGTTTCATTACTGTCAGAGTTTCTTCACTAAGTGGGTGGAATTATTAGTGCTTAAATGAAGGCAAATCATGGATAAATCCTCCTAACTTTCTTCATTTGAGCATAGTATTGACACAAATAATTTGGATATATCAACAAAGTTGAAATGGTAAATTGGCCACCGTAACGATTGCAAAAGCTGACATTTCAAGTGTTAGCCCTCCGTCAGAGCGATGAAGTTGATATATCCAAATTATTTTGTTACTCCCACTGACGCAGCCCCAAACGGTTTCTTTCGAAACTATCAGCCTTTATTCATTGACTCAAATACATGTCAAGGCTAGGGCTTAGCCAATCAGCTCTCTAGAATTACATTTTAATCCACAAAGTGATCCACTTAAGAAAAAAATTTTATGTTGCTGTGTGTCTGTACAGTAATAGAATGAAATACAATTTGTGTAGCAGTCATCTTATCATAGAACTGTTATTATAGTGGCTTTGTCCTTTATTTAACAACCCTGTTAGTCGCCATTAAGTCAGTATAAAGTGGACAGTAACACAGGGCTGTCAATAAGATTTGAAGTAGGTGACGATATTTTGAAAGTAGCCGGAGGCCCCCTCACAGGTGAAGGGTTTGGGAGCCGCCCAGGTCCCCAGTGGGGTACAGGGGCAGAGCCCTGTTGGGGGTCCAGGGGGCAATGCTCCCGGAAGCAAAATGAGTTGAACATTTTGACATTATCAAAAATTGCCTTTCCTCAGAGAAATTCTAGCAAGTCTCGCTCCTTAAAAAGAACAATACTATTAATGACTAGTCAGTTGAAATGGCTGACAAAAATAGTGGGCACCCCGCCCATTCTACCCCCTAAGAAAATTATCAAATGATAGTCAAGCAAATGCCATTTCCAGCATTTTCAAGGGGTGTTTCCCACCAGAAAGATAATCACAGTAGAGAACAAAAACATTTATTAAATCTAAATTTGCAAAAAGCTCTATCTGTACCTGCAGGGTTACATAAGCCCAAATACCATTTATTTTTAAGCCTTTTCCTGGAGACATTTTAAGGCAGTCTGTCTTATCTCTGTGATCGTATTTAGAGAAAATAAAAAATAAGAGAAGTTTCTGTCTACAAATGCTATGAATAAACTCGAGTTTGCTGCCTGGTGTAACAGTTTGATCAAATTTTATTGAATTTGTAGAATGACGTATAAAGAAGAGAGATTTTTATTTAGTTCTCTGACATTTGAGGAGGAATGAGGGAATCCCAGTGAAAACTACCTGATAAAATGATTGAGAAATTGCAATATACTGGTACTTTACTTTTCATAATTCTACCAAGGAAATGAATATGCTGGTCAGACTTGCTCAGTATCTAAACTTTTGATGTTATTTCATGAGTGAAGTAGCCAGTGATTTTCGTCAGAGTAGCCGGAGATATTCGCCGGCTGCAGGCTACTAATGACAGCCCTTAGGTAACATGGATCATTCCCACTACCTACCTCTGGCATTATATGCATGATCACCAGATGCTACAACCTTCTGTAAGAAATGAGCCATTGCACCAGTTGCAATGACTCTTTGAACCAACGGCAGACCTTCAAAGTACTTGAAATCAATGGAAAATGGGTTGAGGGGAGCTGGGTACATGCACAGCTTTACAATTTCAGCAATGATGTCCCATAGTTTGGTGTCTGATTTGGAAAAAATAAGTTTTCAGTGAGGATAGGTATACATGCATACTAACTACCTGTTTGTCAGACAAGTATAAATTTCAATTCTGTAAAATTAAAATTTGATAACTGCAGGACACAAAAAAAGCTACATTTTGTTGTTGAGCTATAAGTCAGAAAAAGTGAGTACTTTTCATCAAATAAACAACAACAAAGTAATCACATTATTCTAAAGATTTATGTCACTGAGATTTGTAGTTTTGTTCTTGCTGCTCCGTACCACAACCACTTGACTGTCCTTAATCACATGTACTCACATTCTAGCTATATTTAATTGCTAAAATAATTGCAGCTCATTCTTGCTAGCACTGTTTCCATTACATTGTACAAGTCATGTAAAACAAATTATTGCCTTAAATCTGCCACGGCAAGAGAGATTTTTCTAGGCCTTTGGCTTTTGTTTCTATCATTTTCCTAATTTCATTTAGTTCAGTATCTACTGTAGTAAGCAATGCAAGCTAATGCTTTGTGCAGTAGTTTAAGGGTACATACTGCAATGCCTTATGAATAGAACTAAATACAGCTGCTGTACCTCTCTGTTTCCATTCTGCTGTAGACTTAAGTTTCAGTGGACTGTCCTTCTGTTTTTCTTTGCCAGATTCTCTAGAAAGTGCCACCAGCCTCTCATGGTTTGATCTTACCTGCAACATATCATGTTTTTTTGAGAAATTTTTTGGTTATTTCAGATTACTTTGCAAGGAAGCGAGATGAGCCCATCTTACCTGCTTTGGATTATTTAACTCACAGGCTTACCATTTTCTGCTTAAATTATATGTACAAGGGCGTAGCCAGGGGGGGTCTTCTTTAGAGCAAACAACCTACAATATTCAGGTGGCAAAAACGCCATGACAATATCTTGGCTGTAAAAGCCATTGATATGGGCCTTCATGCCATGACAATATGACTGAGCCCGCTGATACACGCGGGAGAGCAGCGCTGTAAATGGTGAATAGCCTCTGTAACCCCCCCCCCTTTGAAAAATCCTGGCTATGCCCCTGATATATGATTGTCTTTCATAAATGGCATTTTACTGCTATGGGTTTTTTTAAATGGCCTTTCTGAATAGTGCAAAATTTGACACTTTTCAAACAGATTAAAATGAAATAAATGTGTTCAGATATGTGAATGTGATGTTAAGCTTTGTTTTTTTTTATAATTCTTTACTTGACTTAACCTTCTAACAATCCCAAACATAAGTTAATTGTACCATCTTTTGCCATCAAGGAAAAAATCTAGTTATAATTTAAGGCGCGCCAAGAGATATAATAATTTGCCATGTTCTCACACGGAACGTTTTCAACGCTCTTTCCTTGATGTTATTTTCCAGGGTGTGCACAATAGCTCCTAAAGTTTCAAAGAAAGTTGACTTTAACTTTAATTTTAGATATTCTTACATATTCTCGATAATTTTATTATATTAGGCTTTTACATTTATATGATTGTAATTAGCTCTATATTTTAACCAATGTTATCTGTAAAATACACAATTCAGTTTTACAACTGCAAAGTATTATTCAATGCATCTATCTATCTTGCAAGTTAGAGTGATTTTGCAAACTTGATAACTTGATCCACTCAGAAATAGAGAGAATCATTATAAGGTCCTCCTCAAATCAACAAAACAAACTTTACACACTGTAAGTGTTAGTTGTCCAACATCTACATGTACATGAAATTAGTTTTATAAATTTGAATTTACTGTAGTATTCTAAGTTGTTAAGCACTGTTGATCATTGAATGAAAATAGTGCTCTAGAAGTTATTAAATTAAATTAAATTAAATCTATAAAATTAATATAAAAGCCATGCTCCACTCACCCACACATATGGACAGCTGTACCGTGCATAAGCAGCAATAAGAAAAAGGGTTGATTTGTCATCCTGAAATAATGATAAAAAAATTTGTTTGTTGTAAATTAATTCTATTTGATGATTAATATCTGATCCTTCCACAAAGAGATTATTAATAAAATTAAATTAAGTTTTTTTAACCATTTACCAATACTGGATTTTTGTACCTCAATGGCATTTCAATTGGCCATCTACAACTATTAAAAATTAAAGTTTTACGTCAGGTACATCCATAACACATTAATTTAACTTTGATTAACTTAATGAAAGTTAACAAATTTTCAGGTTATATCAGTCTATAGTCAGCCAATCAAAAGGCAGAAAAGGTGTTTTGGACACTCTGATCCCTTTCCCTCACAAGATCACTTCTTTCTCTTGTGATATTCATTTAAGTTTACATACCTTTAAATCTATATCTTTGTCACTAGGACTCGCTGGTGGCAGACCAATATCCATGAAACCATATCCACTTAAACTAACAAGCAACAGAAATGACATTATTGTTATTTGCAGTCTGCTAAAACCAGACTTGTACAAGTCATGCACTTATACTAAGATCAAATGCATGAACATTTCTAATTGGTATTTAACAATTATTCACCGAAGGCGAGGTGAATATCATTTGTCTCGGGAATTATTCAACAATATTCACCGAACCTGAGGCGAATAATTGTTTTAGTATAATTTCAGAGCTGAATAACAGAGAAATTTCTAAAATCATAACATTTTAGTAACATTTATCAACATTTTATTTTAACATTTTATATAAACCGCGTGGACCGGTTTATAGAGCATCATATAAGGAACCGCTCGACCAATCAGATTGCTGGAAACTCTTTGCTCAGCTCTGAAATTATACTAATAAATATTAGAGTACGATTATTGTGAGACTCAAAAATTGATTTAGGACAACAAAGAGAGGTTGACAGTTTTACATCTTGAACCTCTACATAAGATGGAAAAAAACAGGTTAATTTTGTGAAACTACAAACAACATTCAGCTAGAGGGTGTTATTTCACTTCTCAAAACTATACGTGTACTTGACCATTAAGCAATGGTTCAATATACTCTTGCACTTGTAATAAGAACGTTAACCCTCTAACTCCCAAGATCTGATTATGAATTCTCCCTTCTGGCTGCTACACATTTCCTTGTAAATTAGTAACAAGAATTTGGTGTTCAATCAAGGCAACAACTTCCACCTGATTAGTTTGAGAATTCTCATCACCTGTTTGTTGGATAATGTATGGATATTATAGGGAGAAGTTACAGGTTAATCACTTAAAGGAATTAAAGGGTTAAGAAGGATATCCTAAATAGTTAGAAGAGAGAATTAATCACTTAGCAGAGCTAAAAATCTGTTTAAGAGTAAGTTAATTAAAATTGATATTCTTAAAATTAGTAATTTTAAAAGCATTTGAGTGCTAAAATAAATTTTTGAAATTTAAAACAAGCTATTTAAGAAAGCACAGTCATGCAAAACTGTTGTAAAAAAAGCATAGAGTTGGTTCATGAGCTTTTGTTACCTTTTCTGTGTACTTGCAGACATGATTAAGGATTGTCTGTAAAGAAAAATTGAATGTTTGACTTGGGGAATAAAAAATGGCAAAAAAATTTACTCTTTAAATTTTTAGAAAATTAAACCTCTCTCATTCAATAAAGATGATCCAAAAATTTTTTAAAAAAAAACTTAATTGAACCTTAATTATTACACTATTATAATCTTTGATACTAACTCGTTCCTTGGTAAACTGGCCTGGCTGTCAAATGTAAAACTTAGAGTTCCTCTTCTTGACTTTTCAGAAGAAGGTGATGCGTAATACGACCAGATTTCTGGAGACTTAAAGAAGTTATTAACAGCAAAAACAAAAGTGATCAGCATTGAGGCTCTAAATGACACTACATTAAGTATACAAAATGAGTAAGCGAAAAGAAAAGGTATCGTTTTCCTGTAGGGCCAGCTACGCTTGGGGAAATAAACACAGTAACTTGTACATATCCAGATTCTTTGAACAGTAATGTAATAACAACTACAACAATTTATATAATATAATTAAATCTATCTGGTATGGATCAAATTATTGAACTTATTGCTTCTTCAAAACTGACAAAAATAAAAACTTCGAACAATGCACATAGTGGGAGAAACTGCACCATTGATACATGTCAGCAGCACTTAACGAATTAAACATTTCCATTTTTCCATTTTCATTACATCTTATACTATAGGTAAAATTCTCCTGAATAACTCTTTACCAATTTAGAACATTAACCTAAACATTTAAGATCTTTAAGACCAATTTCAATTTATCAGCTTTAATGTGGAGGAGAGCAATACACTAGGATCACAGGAGAATAGGCTGCAGGAGGGGGTGGGGTGGGGATAACAGGAGACAAGAACTTCATGACAGCAGGAAACAAGAGAAAAATGTGAAGATCGAGAGAAGATAATAGGAAAAAACAATAACTGTGTCAAAATTCTTCATCACTTTTTGGCAATCTATACTTGTATAAGGTGGAAGACAGAATTAAAAGGTGCAGGAGAGTCCCATCCTGCCCCCTCTTCTCTTTCTCCCTCCCTCCCTCACCCTCTTAGTTTTCTAAGGCCACTTAGAATAGAAGGCTTCTTAAAAGGCAAGTTTTTTCTTCTCCTCTAGAAGCAAATGTCATGTCTTGGGTGCTGGTTTATTTGAGCTAGGATGACAGAGCCGGATATATCTGGCTCAAAATAATTTCCAAATTGCAACTTATCTTTACATTGTGGAGATCGACAAGTTTCTTTGAAAACATGAGCATCTCACCATGGGTTCATTCAGCACCCTGCAAATTAACTCTTCTCGACCTCGTAGATAGAGAGCGAAATACTTGAAACCCTGGAAAAAGGAACGAAACAAACATATGCCAGACCATCTCGTGTTAACACACAGAGTTAATTTAGCATCATCACAATATTTATTTACGAGTAAATACTATCAGGAGCGGTCTCAAAACAATCCCTATTTACCTTCAAGCATCCGGCTCTCAGCATCTCGTTTAAAAATCCTTGTAATCTCTTTTTCTCCTTCAATAAAAGAAAAAGAAACTTGGAAGTCAGTTGTTCTAATTAAATTAGAACGAGAATCGTTCCACACCTAGAAAAAGCATGCCTTTACTGCTATACCTAGTCTTAGAAAAATACATGTGAGCGGTTAAGGTATCTGAAATGAACACAAAAGATCCACAAACACACAAATGTACTAAAAGAAAAAGAAGAAACAAACCATTTGGGTTAATTGTGGGGACGCCATACTCTGTTTTGATACAAAGCTACCTGGCAATTGAAGCGAAGGCTTGGTTGCGTTGTAAATAGACGCGCTTTCTTTTGAATTGATTCTTCGGCGATCGTTCAGCAGTGGAATTAGTTCGTCGTTTTCGGGAAGAATGGTAAAACATGGTCAGAAACAACCATCGGAGCATTCGAACATTGCTTAATGCCTCGATATCACAACAAAAGAGTGTCATGCTCGCGTTGTAGACCGAAGGGTGGTCTTAAAAGCTTGATCAAGGGGAAAACGAACAGTAAATCGAAGAGTCAATTTCGGATCAATCTTGTTTGATTTACAGGACGCTCAGACTGTCCGCTGGTGTTGATTGACTGAAATGAATCTGAAGCCAGAGGCCACGATGAATGAAAATTAAAAAAAGGGGAAATCTTTAGAAATCGCGAAGGCTTGTTGACATGGAGACATTTACAGACATATTCTCTGAAAGGTAATTGTAAGCTTAGGTTTCCTTCCAAAACTGATTTGGACTATATAATACTGTACTTGCGCCCCTCTTGCTTGTTTACAGTCATTGAAGGTTTGACACTGACCGATTTTAAAGGAATATAATGTTTGTTTACGTTATAAGTATCGTTCTAGGCCAACTGAGGTCACACGGACTTCCGCTTGTGATACTTAGTTCATATCCGTGGATTGTTAATGTTTACTATGTCAGATAGATTACGTGTTAAAGTTAAGCTATGATGTATCCGTCCTTTAAGAGATCAAAAGTTGAAACCAATCAGAATGAGTGCATTATCGAGCTTTACATATAATCATCTCTAAGATCACCTCACATTATCAGACATTTTTCTTTTTTATCATATTTTATCATGTGAAACTAGACATTATATTCTACAATTTATTATATAAATTAAACACCAGTGAAATATCAGTTTAGCTTTTGCACGAAAACATGATATCTCCACATGTGATAATAACACTGTTACTATAGTTACACATGAAAATGCCCCTTCTACAGAAAAAGTGAAACGGTTTGGTTTTTCATTGGTGTTTATATAATAAATAGAATATTACGTGGCCACTTGGTGTTACAAAATTTCTCTTCAGGTGTTGAAAAATATTTCACAAGTGAATAAATGGAATGAGAAATTTTATATTTCTGCATGGCCATGTAACATCCTCTATGTATGTCACCTTGGGTTTCAAAAGCAATAGATCATAGAAGATGTAGTGAGAACATTCAGTGACACACTTGGATGTGCCCTGCATGCCCTTTCTTTTTGTTTTTACTGCACTTTGACATCATCTGATGATTACTGAACAGAGATGTGGCAACATACACCTAATGCAAATATGGCGTCCAATTTGAGTTGTTCTAGACTCGCTAGCCATGTCTTCGCGTGGAAACACAATAGGATTATTACATGTGTGAGAGGCTAGTAAGTCCAGAACAATGGCAACTCAAATTGGATGCCATATTTGCATTCAGTGTATGAAATCTATTTGTTAAATAATGTATCTTATTAGACATTTTGTTGTTTAGTATTGCTGAGTATTTTTACGAGTTGTGCCGTATTTTGATGAGCCTGTAGGGTGAGTCAAAATACAAACAATGAGTAAAAATACTCAGTGATACTAAACAACAAAATCTCTAATAAGAGATTTATTATCCAACATGCCAAACTATTTATTTCAGTGTGAGCAAATTTCGCGGATATTTCTGGAGTGCAAATATCAGTGATATTTGTACTCGTCTCGCGCATTATTGCACTCTTCGAGGCACAGTTGGGTAATAAATGTATAGACCTTTAGTTCTCTATGATGTTAGGGTTAATGCATTCTAAGAGTGACCAGCATATAATTTCTCCTTACAATATCACCCTTGAATCAAACAGGAGGGTCATGAGAATAAAGGAAATGATCACCAATTAAAGCAGCTTTCAACTGATAACTAAAACAAATTCTCCTTGTTAGCACCTTAGGAAATGTATAGAACAGTATGGAGAATATGCACACTAATATGTTAGGGTGTAGAGGATTAATCTTGGACCATTTTGAAGAAAAAGGCTGTTCATTTTTGCTACCTAGTTTAATACAAATTTTAACATGTCCTTGTGTACCAACTTGTATCAATTATGGTTCTTTGACCTACACTGTAAGAAAGGTGCATCTGTCATTTTTAAAAGTCACCAGGGAGAGTCACTGGTGGTTTATCGATAATGTGTCATAAGCAAAAAAAAACACAGGACAAACTTCGGAGGAATTTCATATTGGTCATGAGTAAAAGGCCTAGAATATCATTAGTCCAGAAATGTATACATAAACATTGCCACTTTCTACAAAATATTATTGACCTTCTCCATCTGCATCAAACAGTCACTCAAAGCCCAACCATTCAAATAAAACAAAGAATTATCTTTCAAGTAAAATTCAATCCAATCAATCCACATAATCTTCCAAAATCAATCTTAGTATTTTTTAGCCAGTTTTTGTAAATTAAGTGGTAAATTATGGCAACACTGACAACACTTTTTTTGTCCTTTTTTTGTAGTAAAACTCTTATTCTGCTGCACTCACATCAAGTGGTCAATAAATAATAATTAAATCATTTATTTAAAGTTGATAATGTAGGAAGTGGTTGCCCAGTCTTCTGGGCCAGTGGCTCATATTAAAAAGACTCGACTCCAGATTGAATTGGAATTTGGAATGTTGGTTTTTGTGGAGGGAGGAAAAGGGAAGGAAAACCCTTGGTGCAAGCTAGGACAAGAACAAACAACAACCTCAACCCACATGTGATGCCAGATCTGGGAATTGAACCCAGGCCTCAGTGGTGGGAAGCAAGTGCTCGCACCACTGGGCCATCCCTGCTCTCCGAACCAGGTTAAACTAAGCTAAGCTAAACTCCCAGGTCAATCTGTATTAAGTGGTCACCTAGTCATTCCCTGTGGGTCACTGCTTGATACAGGTTCAGTTGTACATTGACGGTGCGCTTGTAAGTAATTTTAGAGATTAGAGATGCTGTCTTTTAATCAAAACAATCTTAGCTTTGGTTCAGCAACAATTGTGATGATGTTTTACCTGTAACAGTTTTAATGGTGTAAAGTGTTCTTGCATAATGGGTTACTTATGTTTGTAGATTATGTAGGCCCCTGGTTCATCAGTTTGTATACTGGTATAATAAGTGTTTTACCCTTAGAGTCTGTAGATAAAGCTGATTATTAAGTTCTGTGTTGTCATTAAGAAACTGATACTTTTCAGTAATAATGAAGGCTTGAAACCATAATTAAGAAACAACCATTGAAAATTTAACATAGATGTAGCATGTAGTTAGTGCTGTGAAAGCCTTAACTACAGTGCAATTACAATGCACCACTTGGGTTACATAGTTTACATTATTTTTTTTACCAAAGCTGTACATCTGCATTCAATACACATATTTCAATCAAACAATAATTCTCTAATTTCTCTAGTCAGGGAAAGACTATTCAAATTATAACTCACCCCATCTGACCACTGTTGCTTGGTTTGACTCTCATGTGATTGTATTTCATAGCTTAGAAGTCTTTTGCGAGGACGACGCGGTGATCGGCACTGTGCATGTTGTGATTCTTTTGATGGAGATAACATAATTCTGTTTAAGCTTTATTTGTGAAGAAAGTATAATTTATCAATTCTTGCTCTAAAGTTTTTCTCTTGAGGTCTAGTCCATTAATTTTGGTTGAGCCAGGTGTTTTAGTGTTTTGTTTTCAATATTATTTGTTATTGAATATCTATGAATAATTTATTTGCCTCTTTAACAGGAACAATGCAGCTTGTGCTAAACTTCTATTTTGAATTATAATTTATCTGGTGAAGATTGAAATGAATTTCAGGAGAAAATGATGTCAAAACATTCATTTTTCATTTTCCTTGTTTCATCTTTATTACCAAAATCTTTTACACAAAGAATATGCAAATAAAACTAGTGGGGAATTATTTTAACCTGAATTCCATTTTAAAGTAAAAGATGTCAAGAAGGTGTTCGTGAGGCATTAGAAATTAGAGAATTCCGTGGCTTCTACACAGAAATCTCTGGGCTAATTTTTTATTGTGAGTATTTTATACAGACACAGGGATTATTCTCCTATTGCTTTGCACTGTTCCCCTGCACTGTTAACTACATTTCTTCATGAAAACCTCATATAACAACAGAGTAATGATTAACACAGTATTGATGGTCTTTAAGTGCTAAACCATACATGTCTACCATACATAATTATATCAATGATAATTATTATGTTTTTTTTTTAATTTTTGTCTTTCCAGATTAGTATGCTTTCACTGTTATCACAAATACCATAAGAGTAAATTCAAAAATTTAAATTAAAGTAATTAATTTGGAAGAGATCTTTATACAGAACATTACAACTTGCTTACTAGCTCCTCCTGACTCGCAATAACTGTTTGTCTTCCCTTTCACTCTCAAACTCTATCAATTCTCTTCAAAGTCTGCCATACAATTCCTGTCATTTTAGTTCTGAATTTGCTGTCGAATAAAATGATAATGTCTTTAAAAGTTGATAATTTTCACTCTTCCTGTTGCTACTGCCAGGGGTTTCATTAAGGACCAGGCACCGTGCAAATTGATCAGTTGTGAGGATGGTTTTGCCCACCTGATTTGATTATCTGAAAGTTTTAATTATCTTATAAAGAAGTTCAGTTCAAAAAGATTTGCCCACCTGTGAAAACCTGTGGCCTCCTGCTGAAAACATGAAATGAAACCTCTGCTCTGTTTTTGCGCGTAATTGTAATGAGAATTTAAGGGAGAAATCAGCTATTGGTTAGTCTAGGTAGTGAAATGGTCACATGGAGAACAAACAGCAATAATTATTATTAAATACAATTTTTTAATTAACTGAATTATACAATGTGCATTTTGATAGGTTCTTGCCTATGATCAGGGCTCGACACTAACGGTAGTAAACTAGCCACAGACTAATAGAAATTCAGGTTTGACTAGTGGTTTTCGATTTCCACTAGCCAGTTTAGCTAGTAAACATACTGAAATTATTGTAACATCTAAGATAATTATTACTAGCTACTTGGCTAATAAGTTGAAAAGTTAGTGTCAAGCCCTGATGATGTATTGGGGGACAGAACATAGATCACATCATTTTAATGCATTAGCAACATTTTACTATTTTTTTTTTTTTGTTATTATCGCAACACACAGATTGCATGGTTTGACACACCTGGCTAATAGCCAGGTGTGTGCCTAAATTGTCTGCCACTTTTTTTGATCTCACCATATTTTGACATCTGTGATCTATTACTGAACAGACACAAAGTATTGACCTGGAATCTATTTAACAATTACTCCATGAGTGCGCATTGGGTATGAGATGATAGATAGCCAACGAGATGCATAGTTTTATTTAAAAAAAAAATGCCTCCAAGATATTAGACAATTCTTGACTTTATCTTGTAAGAAGAAACCGGATGTTACAATGTACAGATATTAGATTATGGTATATTGGCTCATATACCACAATGGCTAAGCCAATAAAAAGTCTTGAATTGCATTATCCATTGATCCAGTTTTTAATAAATGTTAATTATTACACAGGGAATTGTATTGAGGATTTTTTAAAATTACTTTATACATTACAAGACAGAATGGGTCCATCTCTACAATTACAAAAGTATCTTTAACCCTCTCTTGTCTTTTCTTGTTAAGCTTGATCAGGAAAGGTTCTCTGACGTCATGCGAGGAAGAACTCCGAGAGGTAAGAAGCAAGCATCATTAACAATCATGGTTATTAGTACTAACACTGTCAATAATATATTTTGAATGATGTTGATATTTATAAATTATTGTTCAACTTTTTTCACAGCGGTGTGACTTGTTTCTAATTTAGTGGTTGAATGTGGTGAAAAGGAAATGATGTATTTTGTAGCAAAAAATTTTGTTTTAAATTCATTATATTTTCTTCATAAGCTTTTAAGCTTACAAAAAAATAATTATGATGATTTAACAGCAATAATTTTTATTAGTTTCTTTGAGGTATTTTGTTTTAAATTCTTAAAAACAGTACAATCTAATCAATGTAAAAATTTCTAATTAAATTACTTACTGTGTAAAACGCTAGTCTTGTATGTAAGAATAAGAAAGAGTGTCTTTATTTGTAAAAACTCAGAGACGATAACCTCTCTAACTAATAATTTTAAAGTCTCAATTGGTGTAATCATTGTTTCATGAATGAATTTATGAAAAGCAAAGTGCAGTTACTGTAACACAATGTTTGAGATTCAGCTTGTGGCTTTGTCAATTAACAGTTTTCTAGTTACATAATGAAAGAAAAACTTGTAATTCATTAATAATGATGACATTTGCTAACACTGTACTACTAAGTACATGTACTTGGTTTTCTTAAACTCTTAAATTGCACTTATCCAGAGATGCCTTCAAAGACACTACAGGTAAAATTCTTTTGCTAATGGATGCTGTTTACATACAATGAAGGTCCACCAATTATATTTTTATTGCATTTGTACAGGATATTTCTCTTCAAGAAGTTTTCATGCAAAATAGGGTTAGATTGTGTTGTAACTATGATAGAAGTCTTATTTAAAAGGACCATTCTCTTGTAATGATATAATGTAGGTCATTGGTTATAATTTTAATAGATATTTTCAAACTTGGGCTTTTCAAGCAATCATATTCACCAGTATGCTTTAAAATTAAGTTTTTAAGTATATTTTAAAAGAAGAGATGAAAGCTCACATCATGTTCTCTTAGATACAGTGTATTTAGAATGTGTGTGTTGTATACCATGTATTGTTCAAATTTTACTTGCTTGAAAGTTTCCTTTTTATCATTTTTATTATGCAAGGCAAAGGAAATAACAATCATACAGATTTGAGAAAAATTTACACAAAGAAAATAAATTTGAACCCTAACACTGCACATACACAACTTATGAAATCATACATGAGATCTGCCCTGCTAGATAAGCTACAATCAGTGTCAAAAATATTAGTTGACACATCATGTTAGAAGAGTTTTATTTCTGTGAAGAATAACAGTCCTAAATCATTAACATTACCCCCTTCCTCATTCAGTGTTGGCTAAAAGTTCATGGAATCATGATACAACATTGTTTGGGGGTGGGGAGGGGAAGGGGAAGTGGGTGAAATGGTCAACTTAAAAAGGGAAAAAGAGAGAAAACTGAGAAGTAATAGGGGGTTGAAAAGATCCCTGTGTGAACAATTTTGTTGCGGATTGTGGACTGGCCCTTTTTCTCTATTAATGATGATAATGGTGATGATGCCAATACGCCTTTTTTTGTTTCAGTTAATGCGGCAAATTGATCTTATGGTATCTGCCAAGAAAGCAGAATGGGAAACTCATGTGCATTCTGTTCAAATACAATTGGACAAGAAAACCAAAGAGCTGGAATTTGTTAAAGTTCAACTGGAGCAGAAGTGTCAGGAGGTCAGTGTGTCTTATCATATAAATTTCTTATTTTGTCAAAACACTTCTTTTTATGATGAAGGTATAAGCAAACAAAATAAAACCAAATGTACCATTACCATATTTTTTTTTACTATAAGGCACTGATTTCTCTCCTTAAAAAAGCTCTCCTTTTTCTAGTAATCATTTCTGTTACCATAGATTTCAAAGGGGTGAGGCTTCCTGAAAGAGATTTTCATTCATCCCCAAATTTATAATGTATTGATTATTAGGTAAGTACTTCTTCACTCTCAAGTTCTCAGTGGTAATAACTCTCCTTACTGTCTGTCATACAGCTTCCATGATGTACATTTGGAGAATTTAGCATTTCATCGCCTAATCATCCCCTACTTGACATTTTTCTTTGTTCTCATCACTTAGCTACTTGATATTGTATTGATAACGTATAACTAAGGAGAAATTCTGTGTTGGTCACTCACAGGAATTAAAGTGTTTTAAATGTTGACCAAATATTTGTGGATTTTGTTGACCAACAGGTTGGTGGGCTTGAACAGAAAGTGGATGAAATGGACATGACTCAAAGAGATCTTGTGGCTGAGTATGAAGAACATGTTATGCATCTTAAACAAGAGGTATGTGGATGTACAGAACACCTGTGTCGCCGTGGGGGTCCTGATGTGCCTGACTAACCACCCCTTTGTGAGATAATATTTAACAAATGGTAAACACCACAGCATGTACTATTGAGTTATGGATGCATGCGGGAGATTGCTAAGCACAAAAGAAGCGTAATAGTCGCG